GATTTGCGTACACAGGATTTGATTGGCTGCCGCTTCCACCTCAGCTTCAAAAGTTGAACATTGTTCAACTTTGAATCTTGAAAATCCTGAGAATCTCCGCTCGCCTGCCCACAATGCATTTCGGCGAAAAGTGAGGGAAAGTGACGTCACCCCATTCAAAGTGAATGGGCAGAAGCGTTTCAAGATTTTTTAACGCTGCTGTGGAGACGGCCCGTGACAGTGAACGGATGGTCAAAGTAAGGTACAAATAAACAGAATCACACGAAGCCTGGTTAGTGTTGCCTGACTTTATAAAGTGTGTTTGTTTATAAGTGTGTGGTTGCGTTCTAGTCACTTTGCTCAGCGCTACTGCTTGTTACAACTTTCATTTTCCGTACTCGCCATAAACTGTTATTATGGCTCAGGTTAATCTCGCCCCCTTCCGACGTGAGCGTGGTTCTTGGTTCTTGCCGGTCAGCCAAGTGGGGTCAGCTAAGAACTGGTGTTCGGTGTTTAGAGCCGGCTCCGCTGTGGCTGAAACAGGAAGAACCAGAGCTAAATCAGGCTGAGTGTGAAACAAGAGCTATTAGCAGCGTTCACACCGGAGTACTTTTCACCGTACTTTTCGCGTTTAGTTCCGTGAGTACCCCTTATGTCGCGTTCACACCAAAAATCGTACTTAATCTCGGGTACTTTTACCCCCATTTTTAGAGCCCGCTGGGAGAGCGTACTTTTCTGTCGGTGAAAAGTGCCCCAAAAGTGCCCCAGTGCTGATTGGCTGGGCGAATTGCAAACCACGCCCGTACAACTGTGAAAATGTTGTGTGGAGACGCCATTGTTTTTCCTCGCTACAAAAACGGAGCGTTGGGTTTATTTTTGAAAGCAGTTATGGCAAGCATCAAGAAATGATGAGGAGGTGTCGGCGCTTCTGGAGATCTACGCCGAGGACGCGACCCAGGGAATGCTACTGAAGCCAGTTCAGTAGCTTTCACTCGACCTGGGAATGTGCACAGCCCCACGGCTAAAAATAAAGAAACTCAGGCAGGACTACAAACGGCGGATTCAGTGGCCAACGATGACGACCACGACGAAGGTAAAATCAGCTACATGCACTGGGGTTTTAATCTGCACAATAATGGTCTCAGATGTACTTTTATTTGCTCAGTAGATCAAGCTAGCCATGATAGGCTGAATAGGCTAACACCGGCCCCGAGCTAGCTACATCTAGCTAGCTAGATATTCTCGGCCGCTATGAAAACGTTTTGACTTGTGAATAACTGTGCAGTGTTTCTGTAATTTGCTTCGCAAAGGTACACACACTGTAACTTTGTCTTGAAAGAACGTTACGCATCGAACTGATGTTCACAATCATGTTTATTTCCTTCTTGGTACAATTATGAAACAGCGTGAAAACTAGAGCTAGAGGTCACATGACTTCCGGTAAGAAAAACTTGCCTCAACAACATTAAACAAAGTTCAAGCATACATGAAGCACTCTTCAAAAAGGAACAATCCTCCGTGTTTGAACCTCTTAAATCGCTGCATAGCCGATTTATTTGGACTGGATTATCCCAGAGAGGCCAAACATTCTTTATAACACAGTTTCAGATTTGTGAAACCTTAATTCTATTTGTGAAAATACAAAAAAGGGAGATTTCAGTGCTTTTTTTTACATGTAGACCACTTTAGACCAGGTCCTGATCTAAAACCACTATACCTAGACTCATCAAATCTGGACTGGATTATCCCAGAGAGTCAAAAGATTCTTTAGAACACAGTTTCAGATTTGTGAAACCTTAATTCTATTTGTGAAAATACATTCCTACTATGTTGTAAAACTACATGGCGACTAAACAGATCTTGTATCTTGCTTATTTTCCCCTCTTAGGAAAGCGGACACGGGATGCGAATTTCTTTGACACCGCCCAGGCGTTGGAGGACCGGCGTGCCGTGGTGAATGAGTCGCTGCGTGGAGATCAGATGGTGCTGTTCACCAAGGCCCAGGAAACGGAGGACAAGATGCTCACCTCGATGGAGCGCCAGGCAGAAGTGTTCAAGCGCCAGCAGCACCAGGATGAAGTGTGGGCGCTGCGCCATGAGGAAGCGTCGGCGCAGCGCCAGGAACGGCAGGATGAGCGACAAACTGCATTTAATAACAGTTTATTTGGTATAGTTTTTGTAAATACTGACACACGACACACAACTTTGCACTAAGGTGTGTATGCTGCTGAGAATATTACACTTACACTTAATGTGTCTATTAAGTATTATTCATCATTATTACCGAGGCAAATAAAGCACATGCCTGGAAGCAGAGTTGAAAATGGGGTCAGGTTTAGGTCAGTCGTGTTTTGTTCTAACATTGCCTCTGGATAAAATCATCAAGGGTTTGTTAGGAGTACTGGGAGCTGAAATGGCCCATCTCATACACACATTCAGACATCAAATGTCTAAATGCAGCAAATTCTCAGTAAAATGTGAATAAACACACTTAACAGGCCTAGTGCACAGGGCACCTCTTTGAAAAGTAACATTTAGGGAAACAACACTTATTTTTAAATTGTGGAAAAGAAAACACAATGTGTTCATGAGATTGATGGACCAGTTTTTGAGTGCTCAAAAATGTCAGCTGTTAAATCCACTGCATAAATGCAACATTACAAAATATTAACTGCAAGTATCTTTTAAAGATCTTTATGTGCCTAGATAGTTGCATTGTGCCTGACACTGGGACACCAGTGGGACAGTTTATTTTATATTGTTATTACTGTTATGACTTTATTTTATATATAATGTTTACTGACATGTACAACTGACACTTTATTTACATTTAAAATTGTTCTATTTAATGTTATGTCTTGAGAGTGCAATAAAGAAAACCGACATGGCGATTAAGCTTATTTCTCCTGACACTTTATCTTTTGTGACCTGTGTAGCATCCTATACATCACATGCAAGTGATTATTCTGATACCATCATGTTTCATCGGTTATAAACTGGCAAAGCTTTATTTGTCATTTATTTATCATCAATGTTGCAACCTTGTGGGGGAATGGCAGGGGCACATACACAAATATGATAATTTATATAATTTTAAATATTATTTGACCTAAACTTTTAATTCCCCCCATTTCACACAACACAACATGGAGTCCACTATGGGCCAAAACTAACATGTATGTTTGCATAGTGTTTATGGCAGACGGATGCAGTGGGTCTCAGGAAGATATATATATCATTAAGGTGGGTTTGCTGCTGAGACTCCCTACACCTGGGACAGTTTATTTTATATTGTTATTACTGTTATTATATAGTACAACTGACACTTTATTTTATATTGACAATGTTTACTGACATGTACCACTGACACTTTAGTTACATTTAAAATATTTCTATTTAATGTTATGTCTTGAGAGTGCAATAAAGAAAACCGACATGGCGATTAAACAGATCCTGTATCAGCCATCCTACGGTGAAACATGGCAATCATGTGTGCTTTCCGTCGGCCAATCCTTTTCCTACAGCTTTTGAACTGCCTTTGATGCTGAAGAAACTTTGCGATTATAGCATTCGACGTGTGGCGGCTCCGGATTTTTGTCGGACGCCTAATAGGCTCAGGCTCTGGCCGCATTAACGAAGTTACAAAGCTGTATAACATGAGCACAAACAGCACGACTTCAGTCGACTCCATCTCCATCATGTCTGAGGTCGGAAGGTAAACAACAGACAGTATACGCGGGAAGTTTTTCTTCTTCTTCTCTTGTTTTGTAGCGGATTGCAAACAACTTTAAGGTGCTTACCGCCACCTACTGTACTCGCCGTGAAGTGGTTTGTGGCCTGCCAATAAAGCCAAAGCAGAAGAAGAAGAAGTGACGTCAGCGGCTCATTTGCGTAATCTTCCCTCAGGGAAAAGTACTCCGGTGTGAACGCGATCTGTACTAAGTGCCCTGGGGTTAAAAGCGCAGGGGCTCTTAGTGCCGGAACTAAGTACAGGAAAGTACTTGGTGTGAACGCGGCTAATGACAGGGGTGCACATAACTGGTACGCAGGTACGCATGCGCGGCAACAATCTGAAATTCGTACCGTCACTTGTGTCACAAAGCGCATTTGCGTACCGACGTAAATGTGAAGCTTTTCCAGAAGGCGGTTAGTTCACCGGACGACAGAGTCGGTCTCCGTGTGCACAGACAGGGCTGCTGTTAACGTCGGTCTGTACAGCAGCCCTGCGCTAAAACAGCTGATCACAACGTTTACACGCTCCGCGGTCACGAAGCTCTATACTCCACTGACATCTCTTGTGGGCGGGACTAAGTCTCGAGGATAGGAGTCGAGGAGGGGAGTCGAGGAGGGACATTTGAAGACATGAGAACGGGCCCAGGTACTCATCTGAGTACCTCACTGAGAAAGTTGTGTGCACCCCTGGCTATTGAGTCAGTGTTGCGGTGCTGTTGCTTTGGTCTGGATCTGTGAGCTAACCACGCCCCGACAATTTGCATATAAGAAATGGAAATGTGTCATTATGAAATACAAGTCCCCTGAAATAAATAAAAGTGTCATTATGAAATACAAGATCCCTGAAATAAATAAATGTGTCATTATGAAATACAAGTCTCTTGAAATAAATAAATGTGTCATTATGAAATAAAAGTCTCTTGAAATAAATAAATGTGTCATTATGAAATAAAAGTCTCTGGAAATAAATAAATGTCTCATTATGAAATAAAAGTCTCTGGAAATAAATAAATGTGTCATTATGAAATAAAAGTCCCATGAAATAAATAAATGTGTATTTAAATGTACATGTATACATATTTATTGCCTCATTTATTTATTTCAGAATTTATTTCATAGGCATATTTATATATATATATGTATTTATTTAATTATTTATGTATTTATTTAATTTTGGCTTAAATGGCATTCCATATGCTTCAGAGGTAAATAGTTCTCCTTTTTCTCTAGTGTTGTTTTATTCTGAAAATACTTTACCGGAAGTTGTGCATTGTATCGTGCCCCACAGCCATGCGGAACATGTTGATAGGTATCGGTGTGATATGAAGGGTCAGTTTATTTATTTATTTTGATTAGATCATAGGTTAAAGAGTTGGTATGATATGATGATTCATACTCATGTACAGTAGGTGGCGGTATGCACCTTTTAAGTTGTTTGCAATCCGCCAAAAACGAAGAGAAGAAGAAGAAGGGTCAGTGAGGGTCAGTATAGATCGGTGTCCGGTAACATGTTGCTGGGCTTCAGACCGAGCCTCCGGCTGCTGTCTCCCCGACTTCAGCTCCTGCAGAGCCGCAGCGTCCAGTCAGAACACCCCGCCACAGTAAGTTGGCTGCAGAGACAGTATCCTGCTTACATGAGCGGTGACACAGCTAGAAAATAACTAAACGCATATGCATGGTGGACATAAGTTAAGATACATATTCACGTGTTGCGTCGATCTTTTCAGAGAGGTCTTGGGATGATAACCTCTTATTATATTTTATAGTGACGTGACGTTGTGTGGCAGGCAGTGATATTTTGCACACACGCAACAAAGTGCATTTACTCAAGTGCAGTACTGTAGTACATTTTTTAAGTATCGTCAGCTACTTTATACTTCTACTCCACTACATTTATTCAACAGCTTGTAGTTACTAGTTACTTTTTAGATTTAGATTATTAGCTAATACAACGAATTATTGAAAGAACTATGATACATATGTATAGGTTAAGCCAGCAGCAGTATAACATAATTAATATTAGCTCTACCGTTACCAGCTGTGATAAACACATAAAACATCAATAATCATAATCCAGGCATTCAATATACGATTTTGGAATCGTTGCTTGTGGTTACGAAGGCATTAATGACCCTTTCTAGGTCTTTAAAAGATAAAAACGACAATAGTCGTATTTGTATGTAGCCTACTATGGAGGGGACTTTGACAGAGGATTACTCACAAAGTACACAGTAAAAGTACTTTGTTTTATTTCTGGTCGCAGTCAAACTAGTACTGAGTCCAACAGTGTCAGTTTTCTTAAGAACTTGTGGTAAAAAATATTTGTATCAATCGTCAAATATAGCAGGACAAATTAAGAGCAGCTGATTTGAAAAAACAAACTCGAGAGACGGCTGAGGTGACCGCAGTGCAGAATCGCTGTATAGTTTACATCTCCTAACAATGTTGTCCATTTTAGACAGAGGCTCATTATATTTACAGCCCTTAATAACATTCGTTTTCTGGGCTCAATATGTGTCTTGGCCGTTTTCGTTGTGATCGCTAAATTCCCCTTGTTTATAATAATCACCGTTCCTTCAGCAGGATACTGTAGTGATTCAAAGTTTATTTTAGCATAGGAGTGCTTTTGTTTTGAAATGACTTCCGTGAGTTTCTCCTCGCCCCTCGCTCCACTGACCATTTGACCAAAAAAAAAGGTCAAAAAACGCAAAAACGCCTCGCAGACGCTCTTCCGTTTAAAAACAAATGGACCGTAGATACACAGATTTTTGACGATTCCTTAATGTGGTTTGTCTAAATAAACCCTAAACTCAAAAATGTAAATGGGAAAATATCCCACCGCTACATTCTGTTTTTCCCAAGTAGTTCTTCTAAGACATGCCATTAAATTACCCAAATAAAATGACCAAAATTCACAGTTAGCCTTTATTTTTTTCCAATTGACCCAGTTTGAAATTAGTGTGTGTGTGTGTGTGTGTGTGTGTGTGTGTGTGTGTGTGTGTGTGTGTGTGTGTGTGTGTGTGTGTGTGTGCGCACACACACAGAGTGCTGCTGTGGACAGCGTGCTCTCTGCTCTCAGGTCTATATGTGGAGAGGATGGCGTCTCATTTGGAGCAGCTGTGAGAGAACAACACGGCAGGGACGAGTCGATACACAGGTCAGTCCCTCTCACACTCACATAATATCTAAAGGTAGTCATGTTTCAATACTACAAAATGTATAGCAAAAAGATAGTTGTGTTAGAATAAAAAAAGGTAAGAATACCAGTGGTTGATGGACAGATATATACTCCATTACATTTCAGAGAAACTGTGTATGATTAACTCCATTTATCTGACTGCTGCAGATTGTACCTACATTTCAGAGTAAGCTAATGTTATATAAAATACAACAAATTGTTGAATATTTAACCAGTGGTTTCCTCTTCTTGGCTTGTGGCCCCTTATAAAATAGTTAAGTGGAGAGATACGGAAAATGTGTTTGTGTGCTGCGGTGCAGATGCTGTCCTCCAGATGTGGTGGTGTTTCCTCGTTGTGTGGAGGAGGTCAGCGCCCTGGCCAAGGTCTGCCACCAGCACAACCTTCCCATCATCCCCTTTGGCACTGGAACCGGTCTGGAGGGAGGGGTTAGCGCAGTCAAGGTGAGAGAGAGAGAGGAAGACCCTGAAGTGTGTGTGTGTGTGTGTGTGTGTGTGTGTGTGTGTGTGTGTGTGTGTGTGTGTGTGTGTGTGTGTGTGTGTGTGTGTGTGTGTGTGTGTGTGTGTGTGTGTGTGTACATGTGCATTAATTATTTGTAAATGGGAGCGGTAATAAAAGTAAAATAGAGTGGTGCAGGAATGAGTCCTAAAACCTGGAAAAGAGTTAACATTTTACAACTTCCGGTTCCCTCGTCTGGAAAATAGGTCAGTAAATGCTGTGTCATAAAAACAACAGTTACTAAACAAATGGCTAAATGAGACCACTAAACCTCATCACACCGAACATTAGCCTTTATCTTAGCGGTGTTTACGTGAACCCATGTGACCATCTTGTAGTTTGTTTATAGCCTAATGTTAGCTTTTTACTTCTATCGATTGCATTTACACTTCAAAAATCATAAAGTAGTGTTAATAAGTGTATATAATCCTGCTGAACAAAACGTGTAAGTATTATAAATGTTTGTTTGCCAAAGATCTTATTTTCTAACTGCAGTAGAATAGTAAAGGCAGTTACATTGGGTCTTCTTCCTGCCCTCAGGGTGGCGTGTGTTTCAGTCTGAGGAACATGGACCAGGTTCTGGACCTCCACCCGGAGGACTTTGATGTGACGGTGGAGCCCGGTGTGACCCGGAAGGCCCTCAACTCCCACCTGAGAGACACCGGCCTGTGGTTTCCTGTTGGTCAGTCACACTCAGATCTTTTGGTTCAGTGAGTGGAACACAGGCCTGGTCACACCAGCATTTGAAATGATAAAATGTCATGGCTAGTTATATAAAATCAAACGGTATCGTAGCATGGAGAGCTAAATCTGCACTGATGTTCTGTAAAGCACCGAAACACAAATCCCTCCGCTGTAGTGACAGGACTTTAGATTTTAATCAAGTTCCCACATGTCCCTGGATTCAGAAGTAGCCAAAAAGTCTGTGTGGAAAAGTTAAAACCATTTTTCCAATTAGTTTCCTGCTGACATTAAAGTAGTTTTAATGTACACGTCCAGCAGGGGGTGATATTGAGAAAGAAATCTCTAGCCCAAAGTGTGTTCCAACTTTATAAAAAACATAGTCAGGATAGGTGGGAAAAAGACTACACTTCAAAAACAGTTTTTTTTTTTTTTTTTTAAATGTAGGTCAAGCGTCTAGAGATGTGTGACAGGATTATAGCTGGTTTCAATGTTCTGTTAAAAAACACCACTAATGTTCCTTTATGTCCTCAGACCCCGGGGCCGATGCCTCTCTGTGTGGCATGGCGGCCACCAGTGCGTCCGGTACCAACGCAGTGCGTTATGGGACCATGAGGGAGAACGTTCTGAACCTGGAGGCGGTGCTGGCTGATGGGACGGTCCTACACACGGCTGGGAGGGGCCGGCGCCCCAGGTGCACCTCTGGGATTTTCACCCACAAATATGCAACATAGCCCAGTGCATCTTAAACAGTCTTACCCTTCTTTTCTGTCTGTGTCATTGTTCAGGAAGACAGCCGCCGGCTACAACCTGACCAACCTGTTGGTGGGGTCGGAGGGCACCCTGGGGATCATCACCAAGGCAACCCTGCGCCTGTACGGCATCCCAGAGGCCATGGTGTCGGCCGTGTGCTCCTTCCCCTCGGTGCAGGCCGCTGTGGACAGCACGGTGCAGATCCTCCAGTCGGGGGTGCCCATCGCCCGCATCGGTGAGGAGGGAGCCCCTCATCCACACTCAAGAGACCCGTCCACTAAAAGCAATGTGATGTTTGCAGAAAATAAGATCTGTGGAAAACACACTTTTATAATACCTACAAATGTGAAGATCTCCACATATTAACACCACTGTTATGATCGTTTAAGCATTAATGCAATCTCCAGAATTAAAATCATTATACTATTAAATAACTACCTCATGGTCACATGACTTCACGTTTAGTTGCTATAAGCAGTATAGAGTGAGGCAGTGATGATGTGGGCCGACCTTGAAGTTAGCATCCCCAGGGCTCCCTCCACAAAAAGCAATGGGATTTTTCCATTGGATTTCAAAATATTGCAGAAACTAAGATCTGTGGCAAACACACGATTATGATACTTACACGTTTTGTTCAGCAGAATAATCTCCACACATTAACACCACTTGTGAGATGTACAAATCAACATTAGGCTATAAAGGAACCTCATCACGGTCACATGACCTCACGTCACCACCGCTAAGCTAAAGGCGGCTAATGTTAAGCGTAATGATAATTAGCAGTCTCATTTAAGAGTGACATACTGTGAACACGCTGTAAATGAGAGATTTGATCTGTGATGTTATCAGATGTGATACCTCTTAGGTAAATCAGAAACATTTCAGAAATGTTTTTTTTTAAATGTATTTTCTCAGAAACTAAATGGTGTACTTTTCCTCCACTACATGTATTTAATACTTTAGTTACTTTACAGATGTGGATGAATGATGTGAAATATAATCAAGTGTTAAATCAGACTTTAGTTCCACCTGATGATGTGAAATATAATCAAGTGTTAAATCAGACTTTAGTTCCACCTGGAGTAAATCCACAAGCTACCCTGCAGTATACAAAGTCATTCAAACTAGCTGCACCTTTACCAGCTTTGAGAACACTTTCATGATCAATCATTATAAAACATATCATATATATTATTCTGAAATGGACCAATCTGCACTATCACTACTTTTACTGTCGCTACTTTAACTATATTTTGATGATAATACTTTGTTACTTTTACTTGATTAACATTTTGATTGCAGGACTTTTACTGTAACAGAGTATTCCTATACTCTGTTACTTCTACTTTTACTAGAGTACAAGATCTGAGTACTTCTACTTGTGAGTACAGACACAGTAAATTGCAATGTAATAAACTCTCATTGGGATGGTTGGATATTTTGAGTGTGATAAAGACAACGAGATTGTCGAGGAGCTATGACTAAATAGTTTGGGCAAGTTTTCAGTTTATTTCTTCAATAATCTCTTCTTTCCTCACAGCCTGTGGCAGGACTGAAGATCTGTTTAATACAAATAAACTGTAGGGGAACGCATATAAAACACTGAAGGCTAAAGTATAGTGTCAGCCATGTTAATGTATCCCTCCTGCAAGAAGCTGTTATACAGCAGCCATTACGAGATGAAGAGAGAGTGAACATGTGTGGGAGAACTGCTTTTAAAGAAGGCAAAGATTCAACTTTATTGATCCCGCTCTGAGAAGCTTCCTGCAGGACGATAATAGAATACACGCGTGAGAAATCTAATCAATATCAATCATTGGAATTTGAAAAATGTGTCTTTACCCATTAGTAAAGTTTACAGATGTCAGAAGAATGACCTGGTTAGATGCATATAACGTGTGTGTGTGTGTGTGTGTGTGTGTGTGTGTGTGTGTGTGTGTGTGTATAGAGTTCCTGGACGATGTGATGATGGATGCCTGTAACAGGTTCAGCTCTCTGTCCTACGCTGTGAGCCCCACCCTCTTCCTGGAGTTCCACGGCTCGGAGCGAAGCCTGGAGGAACAGGTGCTCACCGCCGGTGTGTGAGGGTACACACACACACCGGCATCAAGTCATACATTACTGCTGTTGGACAGAAACCTACATTTTAATACAATTGACCTCTAAAATCATTATGAATATTAATGAAATCAGGAATCTTTACTTGGAAATAAGTAACGTTCACAGAATTATGAAATATCTAGGTGTGATTTTGTAATGCATGACAGACAGGATGCTCGAGTCATGCAGCGTGGAGAAAATAAATATTGATTTTAGCTGCGCTAGCTGTTTAGTGCCGATCTGTTACCACAATATACCACTAGTATTTATTTGATATTGCCGTTCAAACAAAATCTTGAAACATCTGCATTTATTCAAGTCTCCTGCCAAAAAACTACATTTCAACGCTTTCTCAACAGCCATTGGACAAAAGCCAAGTTTCGACTTTCTGAGCGACTGTCAATCAAATACGGGACATTGTCTCAATTTGTGAGACACGGGAAAAATGATAAAAATGCTGTGCAGTCCCGCACAAAGCTGGACACCTGGTCACCCTGTGTCCTTAGGCAAGATACTCAGCCCCCCCGAATGACTCCCGTAGGTCTACGGTATTCTAGTGTGTGTTAGTTGATTTTTGGATAGAAGTGTCAGCCAAATAACATGAGACTTTTTGCAGTTTAAAAAAATTAAATATTGCGTGTGTATTTGTGTGTGTGTTTCTACAGAGGACATCACTCAGAGTAACGGTGGATCAGATTTCCAGTGGGCTCGAGATGCAGGATCACGGGAGCGGCTGTGGAAGGCTCGCCATGACGCCTGGTACGCTGCTCTGGCCCTGAGGCCCGGCTGCAAGGTGAGGAGGCCTCTGCCACTTAAAGGTTTCATATGTAACATTTCCTCATGTCAATGTCCAAAGAACAGGCAAATGCTATTTACTTTTTTGAGTTCTGTACCTCCACTATCCCAAATGTTTTCAACAGTTTACAAACAATAAGACATCTGTAATTCTAATCAAGGTGCGTTTCATCTGTTATGGGGTCGTATCCCCTTTGAACATACGTCTGCACCAGAAGCTGTCATATAAAGAGTGTGTGTGTGTGTGTCCTACAGGCTTACGCTACAGATGTGTGTGTCCCTCTGTCTCGCCTGCCTCAGATCATCGTGGAGACGAAGCAGGACCTGATGGAGAACAGACTGACAGGTGAGCTGCAGGAACACAAATACCTGTGTCTACATCAAGTACACTTAGTGTATATGTCAACAATGGTTCATATCATTGTTAACCTCTGAAAGTATTGTAATTATAACAATCCATGCATTTACACTAACTGCAGAAACCTCACAGATATTACATTTCACTCGCATGACTGTTGAGTAAAATAAATCACTGCTACTGATTATAATTAAATTATGATTTAAATTTGATAGTGTTTTTAATGATCTGAACTAATGCTTTATCTAGCACGCGGTTATACACCTTCAAAATGACTTTTAGATAAAGTGTTAATAAAACATAACGGTATGTGTTCCTTGTGCCATTTTCAGTGTAATACGTCTATTCAAACAATTTAAAGGTCCCATGTCATGGCCATTTCTACTGATCATAATTCCATTGTTGATGTCTACTAGAATAGATTTACATTGTTCAATGTTCCAAACTCACATTGGTTTCTCATACAGCATCTCTGTAGAGTATGTGTATTCACTCTCTGTCCTACACGCCTTGTTGGAGCTCCCCCCCCCCCCCCCCTCCCCTCCCTATGAGCCCACTGTGCTCTGATTGGTCAGCTCGCCCACTCTGTTCTGAAGAGTCCACCACCGTTACAGCGGAACATCAGTGATTATGTGTTACAATGGCGTTAGTAACCAGAAAATGACCCCAGTAATGACAAACAGATGAGAATGCTGCGTGGGGTCTGGGTGCCGTGTTGGCGGGACGTTGCGGGGCTCGCTGCTCCGCCCTTTGTTGTGTAATAGAAGCTTCGAATGAAGAACCAAGCAAAATCTTGTCCAAACTGAACTTTTACTTTATATTAATTTAACAGTTTCCAACAAGAACGGTGGAAGACAGAGAAAATGCTATCGACATGCTCGCATTCAATTTCCATATCAAAAACAGGAAGCTGTGAGAGCAGGACACATACTTGCACTTCAAAATAAAAGCATTTCCTGTGAAACATTTTACCCTTAACTTCTATCAAGAAAAAAATAAACAAATGTTTCTACTGCCTTAAATAAAAGAAGTTACAACATTCTCCCGCACGATGAACAGTCTTTCATCACTTTTCAGTCCATTCACTTATCTCTAATGGATATATGAACTGAACAGGTCTCCTCAACAAACTGCCCGTAGAAGTCCGGACAGCGCAGGAACGAATGAGTCCATCTCTCCCTGGAAACAGGTCTGTTATCCTACCCATTTTCCAATTCTGCCTGGGAGTGTTGTCCTCTCCGATCAGGATGACATCTCCCACCTTCAGCAAAGTGGGTGGAGGTGTTTCACACCTGTGAGCTGATTTCAACTCCATCAAGTAGTCCTTTTTCCAGCTGTTCCAAAAGCTGGTTAAGAGTCTCTGCCGGTACCGCCATCTCCGGCTCATGTCCTCTCTGCTCGCATTGTTTGCCTGAGATGGTGGAAGCAAAGTTTTTGGTGGTAGAGAGGTTAGTCTTTTCCCCACCAGGAAGTGAGAGGGGGTAAGTGGCTGAGGCTCTGATGCATCATCGTGTACATAGGATAGAGGCCTGGAGTTCAACACAGCCTCAACCTCTGCAAGCATGGTTGTTAGCTCTTCAAAGTTCACTGAAGCCTTCCCCATGACCCTCTTTAAACATGTTTTCACAGATCTCACTAGTCTCTCCCAGAAGCCGCCCCACCAAGCAGCTCGCTCGGCAATAAACTTCCAGGTGATCCCCTTGTCAGTGAAAAACTCTGTGAGCTCTGAGCCCTTGAATGACTTCCATAGTTCCTTTAGATCAGGGCTATTCAATTAGTTTGGAATGGGGGCCGGTTGATGAAAATGATCCAAAGCAAGGGGCCGGGAAAAAGATGGCTTGAAATATGAGCAATCATATTAAGAGCTTCAGATACAGTAAATACTACAACAGCATAGTGGAGTGCATATATTGTCTTTAATTCAATCAAACAACATAGCCCCAAGGCCTTTATAGATCTAAATGGCAAGTTCAGAACTCAGTAGGCCTACATGTTTCATTTGATTTCATTTAGGTGAAATGATCTAATCATTCACGCAGAGATGCAATCAATGACAGGAGTTGTCACTACAGTATAGTAGGTGGGTTCGAAACCCGAGCCCGTCGAAGTTTTCAGGCATTGTCTACCCCTCTATCTCTCAATGTAACACCCTCTCTGGAATAAAGGCACTATGGCACAAAAAAAAAAAATCTTAAAAAAAAAGAAATTGATTACTTTTTAACATTATACTCAAAGGGCCAGTAAATATCACCCCGGGGCCGGATTTGGCCCGCGGGCCGCCAATTGAATAGCCCTGCTTTAGATCTTGGTCTGCTCGTTTGAATGTTTTAGCATTGTCTGAGTAAATAACTTTACACAGTCCTCGTCTTGCTATAAATCTCTTTAAGGCTAAGAGGACATTTTCTGTGGTCTGATCTGACACTAACTCTAAATGCACTGCCCTGGTGACAGCGCAAGTGAAAAGTGCAATATATGCCTTCTTAGCCTGACCGCTAGACTTGACATACAATGGCCCTGCTAAATCTACCCCAGTTACTTCAAAAGGTGGAGACTCAGTCACTCTGTCTCTGGGTAGTGGAGCTGTAACCTGCTGTGCTGGTTTCACTTTCAGTCTCCGGCAAATGTAACAATGTGATACCACCCGCTTGACTAGCTGTCTCCCCCTTAAAATCCAGTATCTCTCTCTCACCTCAACTAGAGTATCTCTGACCCCTGAATGCATCACTCTCTCATGACATTGCTGAACTAGTAGCTCAGTGTATCTGTGATTTGTAGGTAGCACCCATGGGTGTTTCTCCCTAAAACTGAAATCAGAGTGCTGTAGCCTACCTCCTACACTCATAAGGCCATTTTCATCTAAGAAGGGTTTCAAGTCTTTGATTTTCCAATCTCTCTTTATGTTTTGTCCAGATTTCAGCTGACACATTTCCTGGCTGAAATGTTGCTCTTGAGTTACTACCTTTGCCCCGTACACTTCTGCTGCTGTGAGCTCTTCTGAAGTTAGCTCTCCCTGAATCCTTTGATTAGAACGGGCATTAGCTATGAACCTGTGCACCCATGCAGTTATCCTAAATACGGTTTTTAACCTGCTGTGCTTCTCTAGGTCTAGTAGTGGCTCAGCTTCTTCAGTGCTCGTAAAACTTAGACCTAAGCTCAGCGTTCACCCTGTAGCGTAGGTGTTATCCCTGAACGAATAAATGTCATTTGGGCGCCAGACAGAGGAATATTTACTATAGCCAGCTGTCAAAAAAAAAATCTGCTTAAACACGCAGAAACAGAGGGATAGCCCGGTGACCCAGCTACTGAAGTTTACAAAGGAAAAATAATCAACCAAATAATAATCAGTACATTAAACAACTCATTTCACAGACCATTTACCAGAAAAACTTAAATCCAATAGATACAAAAACACAAACAACTAAGTCAAATTAACTCACAAAACATCAATCACTTATGTGACTCCGAGAGCCTACGATTGTTTACATCATGGGGATTGACTGAGTGAGTGTGGGGGGGGGGGGGGGGGGGGGAAGAAGTATTTTTTGTCCTTTGTCACTCAGTTTAAGGCGCCGTTTACACGAGGAGAAAACTGCTTGTATCTGCATAGTTTCGCGTGCGTATAGCCCTATTATTTACACGAGGCCGATAGAAACTGACCCCACAAACGATAAAGGGTCCCAAGGTGGATAGATTTGCAAACGAAACGCTCTGGGGGGGTCAACCGAGTCCGTGTAATCACCTCGATACGAATATTTCCTGAAAAAATAGCGATAGCCCCACCTCTCCCCACCTCTCCTGCTCACTGCTGTAGCAACTATCAAACATAGCTGTGTTAATTAAACGCACAAGGGGTTCTTGAATGAAATAATATTATAAAAGGCAAACCAGAATTGTTAACGCCCAATATACTCCTTAAACAAAATAAACAGAGTCAGATTTCATGCATTGATCCATTATATTGACAAAGGAGCGATCTCACCCGGTGTTTGTAGAGAATATCTCTCTTTCTGAGCGTGTCCTCTCCACAGAGACGTGCTTCTTGGTCGGTCGATGCAATATCCACAGATTCGGTTTCTTTCAGTTAACTTCCCCGTTGCATTTATCCATATGCTGAGGAAATGACTATATCCCGCTGAATACCAGCAATCACCACACACACTTCCTCCTGTCAGTAGCTACTGCTACTGCTACTGACCATGCTACAGATGTTAGTACAACATCTACAGCTCGACCATGCTACAGATATTAGTGCAAAATCTACAGCTCCTCTACCACAACCATCAGCAACAAGTGGACATGGAGAATTACATGAACTACATGTTGCTAAATACACCGCGGGGCATAAACAGAAGGGTAGCCATGGCAACATTGCTGCGGGGCTGCTCGGGCTGCTCTTCTTCGCTGCTTTTGGTGTATTTTGGCAGAAGTTACAGCGCCACTTACAGTCCCGGCATATGTACTACAGCGTTTCCAGCGGCCTCGTTTGAACAGACACGTTAAATGAAACAAATGCATGTGAACGGAAGACTTTTTTGAATATGCATACTGTGCATAAACGCAAACGTTCCCGTGTGAAGGAGGCCTAAGAGTGTAGTTCAGGGGATAGGGATGTGTGAAAGAGTGTGGTGTGTGGGTGTAGAGTGCAAGAGGAGGGGAAATGATATTGGTGTAGTGAGAATAACTTATCTGAGGGTGACGGGCCAGAGTAGATCACCGGATTGCAGGGTTTAACTGGGAAGGGGAAAGTGAAATGTTTCCCCAACAGCTCCTGGGTTCAGTGGCAACACTCCCAACAATAGCCTGATTTCTCTGATGAAGTCCATAAGAATCCACTTTCTTCCTTGCTGGATCCGACTTCCTCTTGGTTCTTTCTCTTTCTGTTGAATGACATGCTGTCCTCCTTTTAACAGCACACAGGTGCCAATCATGTCCTTGATCGGTTTCCTCCAGCTTCTCTCAGGGGTGGCTTGATTAGCCACTCCCCTTTTTCTCAGGGAATCTGTAGGAGTTTACTTTTTCCCCTGTCCTGCTACAACCTCATCTGCATCACAGCTCTCATCAATGACTTCTGCTCCATCTGTGGATAACAGTGAAGTGGGTCCACTCCACCACAGCTTGCTTTGGATGAGGTTCTCGACGCTCTGGCCTCTGGTGGGTCACTCTGTCTGACACAAACGGCTTCCACCTTTGTGCTGAGCTGCGAATCCAATGGAAAACGATCATCGAATCTGTCCACATGTAAAGTTGAATCTTTTCCATGTTGAGTGGCTTGAGAAGATTATTCCCTAACCTTGCCCCGATCAGTGCACCCATAAGCTCCAAGCGGGGTAAAGTCATTTTCTTCAATGGAGCTACCTTTGACTTGGAGGCCACAAAACTTGTTACAACCTCTCCATCTTTGTTTTGTCCTTGCAGATAGGCAACAGCACTGTATGCCTTTTCGATGGCATCGCAGAAGACATGCAGTTTGATTGTCTGTGAGTTTGGTTGGATCTCAATTTGGTACCACCTCGGAATGGCCACCAGGTGGAGCTTCGGCAGCTCTGCACACCACTGATCCCATTTTTCAGCCAAGTCTGAAGGCAGCTGCTCAACCCAACCGATTCCCCTCTCCCACAGTTCTTGAAACAGACACTTTACTCTTATAGTGAAGGGAGTCAGGAAACCGATGGGGTCAAATACTCGAGCTGATGTCTGCAGTACACTTCTCTTTGTATTTTCTTTGCCTTTTAAAATATCCAGCAGTCCCTTTAAGTCAAATACAAAATGATCCATCTCTGCTTTCCATACTAACCCTAACACCTTCAGTACATTTCCAAGTACAAGTGGCTGTTTCTGTTGTGTGCTCCACTCCACTTTCTGTCCACTTGGCTCTCAGATCTGGTGAATGTGTCACCCATTTGCACAGGTTCATGCCGGCGTGAGACAGAATCTCCTTTCAGGGTTCTTACGGTCATTAAAAACCTGGAAAAGTCATGGAAATTCAAAATGCTAATTCCAGGCCCTGGAAAAGTTATGGAAAACAATATTTTTCCCAAAGTTTTGGAAAAGTCATGGAAATGTAACTAAAGTTGCATCAAATATAATTTATATTTTATCTAATCGCCGAAATAGTAATACTATAATGATAATAAATACTGTATCGTATAGTAATGTAACGTAAAATGGCATTTAACTGACGAGGTGTTTTGCTGGTGAGAGATTTTGGTTGCTTTAGCGTGTAGAAGCTAGTAAGCCTACTATTGGATTTGTTTTAGATAGGCACAACATGTTTCATATGCAGACCTGATTTTCCTGTTCCATGTTAAAATAAACCATTTTCAGTGGTACCGCTGAGAAAGAGTAATTTTTTTAGTCATGGAAAATTAGGTAAAGGTCAAAATCACTGGTGAAAAAGTGTATGAACCCTGTTCTTTGCTGTTGTGGTAACTGCAAAGGCTTCATCCACATCACATGAGCTGGCAATGAAATCATCAACATAGAGAGACTCTCTCAGTGCTTCCACTGCCCAAGGCTGCTCTGATTCATACTGCTTGATATGATTTCTTATTGTTGCAGCTAACAGGAAAGGGCTAGGTGACACTCCAAATGTCACTCTATTCATTGTCATGATACGCAGCTCATCTTTACAGTCTTTGGTTGGAGGCCCATGTAGCCACAGGAACCTAACAGCATCTTTATCCTTTTCTGCTAGAGCTATCTGCAAGAAAGCCTTGGTAATATCTGCAGTAAAGGCGATCTGGTGGAGTCTGAACTTAATGAGCACATCTAACAGATTTGGGTTAAGGTTTGGACCTGTCAGCAAACAGTCATTTAGGGAGGGGCAACCCTCTTCATGTGATGATGCATCAAACACAATTCTTAGTTTAGTTGTTGCTTTATCTTCTTGATGTGGCATGTGATATTTCACAGCCTCCGGTTGCTCTTCTGCTGATGTGTTCACTGGTACATCCTCACAGACGCCCTGCTGCAGGTCATCCTGTATGACATCATTGTACCTTGTGTACAGGGTCACATCTGTTTTAAGTCTCCTCTTAAGACCTTCAAACCTCCCCTTTGCTACTCTGAAGTTGTTTGGGAGATCTTGTCTCTCTGGTCGCCATGGCAACTCGACTTGATAGCAGTCATCTTTGTATTTTACAGTCTGTTCGAAGTTTTGAAGAGCCTCTGGGTGTTTCTCAATCGCGAGTACGCTTGCTTGGTAGCACATGTCTGCCGAGCATCTTGCTTCAGAAGCGAGTCAAGAATACTTCCTGCCATTTGGAAAACGAAGTGTGGAACACGCTAGCAAGTGTGCAGGTGTGCGTCATATGAGAGGCCCCGCCTTACATCTTCCGCCACAGATTTGGGGAAATTGGTCCGTGCGCAAAGCATTGTGGGGACAGCCTGGCTGTGAGTGCGTGTGTGTGCGGAGATCCGCGGAGCCGCGGCAGAGAAAAAATAAGGCTGAGTGAGTGTGTGTGTGTGTGAGGAGCTCCACGGATTGGTCCATTTGGACCTGGGTATCGTTACTTCACTGTACTCAGGAAGAAAACAATGGAATAAGAGAAATGTCCAACGAGGCGTTCTGGGGCAGCATAGACAGGTCTTTTCTGTGTTAAGAGTTTTACTCGCTACAGGGTGTACTTTGAGGGTTTGTGACTCTGCAGACCGTTTACATGCATAAAAAGCTACATAACACACAAGGGGACGGGTAATAACCGGAAAAGCATGACATGGGACCTTTAAATATATTCAAAATGAAGCATCTACCTTATGTTGACCATTTAATGTGGGAATGAAATAGGTGTGGCCAAAAATGAGAAATACAGTATACTTGATGTTGACCTGGCAGTGTGGCAGCAGTTTAACAAAGATATGAATACATATGTATCCAGTTGGTAATAAATGTATAATCTAGATATATACTCTCATACTATATACTGTTTACTAATATGTCCTGTTTCTTCTCCGTCTTTTATTTATTCATTTTCATATTTATCTTATTTATTTATTATTTTTTTAATATAATCATGAATTTATTTCAGGATTCATTCCTTTTTGTATTTATTTTCAACATACTCTATATTTATTCTTAAATGTATTTAATTACTGTATTATTTATTTCCATATTTATTCTGTTATTTTGTTCATACTTCCATAGTTAATGGCTAGAAAAAGGGCTCCTGACCTATCTTCAAGCTTCATGAACCATCGCGATCTGAAAGTATTGAATTGACGAAGACGTTGTTATATTGCTGATTTGACATTACAATCAAAAAGTCTTAATGTACTTCACAAAAGACAACAACAAGCTGACCTCACACACAGTAGAAAAGCAGCAGTGATTCTTGGTGACAGAATGAAGTGAGGACAGATATTCTTCAGTCAGAGTAATGAGTGCGTGTCCTCTGGTCCTCAGGTCCGATAGCAGGTCATGTGGGTGACGGTAACTTCCACTGCATCATGGTGGTGGAGCCCAGCGACCCCGAGGAGCTGCACAGGGTCCACCTGTTCACTGAGAGGCTGGCCAGGTAAATCAACGCAGAACTGAACTACTGATCATCAAAACATGAATCTGTTATTCCAGGGTTGTTAAAGGACGTTTAAGAAATATATTAAAATGAATTGACAAATGCAAGTGCCCTGCCATTTGAACCTCCAGAAATACATGTATGTAGTCTGCTGGTCCAAACGGTAAATGATCATCAGTATGCACCTTCTAATTAGCTAGTCTTTATTCATGTCATGCTTAACATTTGGCCCTTTCCGCATGGGAATAACAAGACAGCGCTGCAATACCAAACAGCAAAATGATGAGTATCGCTTTCAGTAACAAATGTAGAAAACCTAAAGAGAAAACCCAGTTAAAGCTTGTATTTACTTTTATATGCTTTCAAATAACACAATTTGTATTTATTTTTCAAATCTCTTTTTTTATTCTGCTACCATAAGCAGAATAATTGAAACCTTACGGATGTGTTTAGTTGTATACATGTGTTGTATCATCAGTATCTAAACTCTCAGTGTGTGTGTGTGTGTGTGTTCCCCCAGACGGGCCCTGGCCCTGGACGGGACCTGCACAGGGGAGCACGGGGTGGGCCTGGGGAAGAGAGCACTGCTGTGTGAGGAGGTGGGCCCAGAGGCTGTGAAGGTCATGCAGCGCCTCAAGGACAGCCTGGACCCCAAGAACCTGATGAACCCTGGGAAGGTTCTGCAGTGATGGAGTCTGAGGAAAAGACAGAAACACAAAGAATGTCGGCTACTGACTAAATCAATCAATGATTTGTTCTCAAATATATTTTTGATGATTCTAATGATTTAAAAATCGTATTGCTTCTGCAAAGAAAAAAAAAGTGTTTTCTATTTCGTAGCGACGGCTGAACTGCGGCAACAACAACGTAATTTAAAATGACGGCAGCACTTATGGAGGTTTTCTGTAACTGTCCAAGTCTATTCACAGTTTATTTTCCATGAACCAGTCTTTAAACACTGACAGAGCCCATAATGTGTTCCCGTTAGTGTTTACTTCCTGTCTGTCTTCGTCTGCTGTTCCCGTTAGTGTTTACTTCCTGTCTGTCTTCTTCTGCTGTTCCCGTTAGTGTTTACTTCCTGTCTGTCTTCTTCTGCTGTTCCCGTTAGTGTTTGCTTCCTGTCTGTCTTCTTCTGCTGTTCCCGTTAGTGTTTGCTTCCTGTCTGTCTTCTTCTGCTGATTTCTCTCACGTCCAGTGCTCTTAACCTATTTCTTTCTCTTGTTTTATTGTTGTCTTTTTCTTTTCCTTACTGGTGAGATTGTAGCCATCTTGAATCCAAAAATGATTCCATGGTGTTTCGGATGGAAGAAAACTAACATGTTTTTTTGGCCACCCCTGACGTTAAAATGACAGGACTTTTTTCTGCGGATTGATGCGTCTGCACATTATCCCTTTATCAGAGCGTCCTTCTAGCAACAGTCTGTTATCCTTAGCAATGGTTTGCTATCAATACAAAGAGCAGACCACAGAATGTTCAAATAGGCCAATAAGAATTGAGTATTCAGCTAAGCGAGTAATTCACTGGGGGCCTTTATGACCTGTCATAGTAAGAAAAGCCCGGGTGTTTCTAAGAACACGAACAACATGTTCAGTGTAGTGACAGTCAGCGACAAGGCCCTGTACCAGGGAACTGAAATCAAAGCGGCCATCTTCATTTAATTATTTACTTCTGTACATTCACTTTAAAAAGGAAAATCAACATTTGTTCTATGAATTCAAGTCAATCAAGAATGTTTTAAATTAAAAATAGTGGCAGTCTGTACTCTCTATGTGGGTTTTTCATGCTAATATTATAAAGCTGTATTTGAATGAGGACTGCTTTGTACAACAAAATAAACCACCAGTTACTGAATCCTTTGAATCTGTCCTCACTTTGTTCCTGCATATCGTGATCATTCTTGTTTGATATTTAGCAAAAATGCTAGTATTTGCTTCTCCTCTCTGTTGTATATTATTGTAAGTATGCCATATTAGCTGATTCCCCTTTTTCCAGTGGGCCAAAGAATGATGCTAGGCTAAGCTAAGCTAACCGTCTCCTGGCTCCAACTATCAGACTGGTATCGTCTCACCTATGGACAGAGTGATTGAGTGTACTACATTTCAACTGTTTCAATGTTTACAATTCCTCAGGAAATGTATTAGAGTTTGTATACCTGTATTATTTCAAATGATTTCAACAATTTTCAAACTGTCTCATTGTATTGGTGTCGTATCTCCTTTGGGCACGCATCAGCGTCAGAACAGAAGCTGTCGTAAATGTATTTTATATCCAGTATTTTTACCTCACATTATTTTGATCTTGGTTGTTTTGCTGACTGACTTTTACCCAAATGAAGGATTTTTGTCACGGGACGTCTGAATCGTAAAATTTTTGAGAAACAAGCTAAGCAAACGTTAGCAGCAGCCGAGCAGCTAGCAGGGGAAACTGATTAGAAATGTGACTCCAAGTTCAGGTTTCTAAGTCTTGCACAACAAGTACATCACTTGAGATATCAATTTCCAATTTTATTTTTCAGGCTTTGACATAAAGTGAAATATATAAAGCAATCCTATTCTGAGTTATAATGCCAGCAAACAAGCTACATCAGTAATGAGTCTGATCTCCCCTACAGACAGTATGCACCTCATGTCAGCAGCTACAGAATGCTGTTATGACCTCGCTCTACTCATAGAAACCGGTAGGTGACTCAGCAATAGTCACACTTGTACATCTTGGTATCAGAGCACAACAGCATGCTAAATAAAAAATGATTAGAGTGTCAATGAACCTTCCTGTGGCATTGCAAAACATCGAGATTTTTACTAAATGGTTCTGAGACATATTGGCTTTTTTTGCAAGACAAATGATGCTTCAGATTGATTCAGATGTTTCCAGGCTGTCAGTCTGCTTTCACATCATGCTCCCATGGACATTGAACTGGACAGAAAGGGGATGTGCTGACTCAGCAGTCAGGCTGTTTGTATTGACTTGATCCGGTCCTGTCACAGAGAAGAAGTAATACTGAGCCGCACCACAGAGTGTCAGCAGAGCGTGCCTCAGTCAGACTGTGGGGGGACATGCAATGTTTTAAAGATGGATACAATAAAATGCTGTTAGCTACATCCTGCCTTTGTTATCCTGTAAATATTATGATCATAGCTGAAATGAACATTAGAAACACAATAATGAGTCCATGCACATTATCTGATCTGTTGAGGACACCGAGGTCATGTCCTCAGTTTTATTTCTGTGCATTTGGAGCTTTATGCATGCATAACATTTCACCAACATACACGTATTTAAACTCGCTGGGTTTTTAAAGGTCAGTTCTGTTATTTGATGGACTTATATCTTAAAGATGTTGCCTGATCTAAGCAAATCAAAATGAAAAGATGAGGTCAAATTCTCCATCATGGCAGAATTTAGACCATTGTAAAGGGTTCAGGAAATATAATGGTGACACTTTCTATTTCCACATCTATAGTGCATTATCAACGGCATTCATAGTGAATTATAAAGCATTGATTGATGATTCATACTTGATAACAATTCCGATGCACTATACCTATCGTCTTAAAACATAATGAATGTCACTTATGATCAAATAAAAATGAAGTGTAAAGGATTTTCGTGCACAGAAATCACTAATGATAAAGCAGATATATATTCTTTGAATGAAAATGCATTACTTCTAACATACCAATACCAGCGGTTTATTTAGTGAGAATGCTGATACAGCATTCCAACTATATGTTATGCTACGGACAAAAAGTTTATTATTATTATTCCATCCAATAATTTTGTCCGTCTTCTCTCCCACATTCAACATCGCAGAAACTCCGTTCAAACATCAAAACGTTCAGCTCCGTCGGGAATCGATGGCTATTACTTTTATCATTCATAACTTTCATAATTCCAGAGATACATCCCATAATTCATCACATTTTTAACCATTGAAGTCAATGGAGAAATTCTTCAGACTTCAAAAATCTTCATGCTAACTGTTCATTCATACTTTCACTCAGAAACCTCATTCCAACTTTAAAATGTTACACATCTTTCTGACATTATTCGTGTAACACAACTTTTAAATCTGATTCTTACTTTTAGAGAATTAAACATTGTTCAGACCTTGTTAAAGAGGTTTTCTTCAGATTTTAACATTAACTAGAGTGCGTGATGTCACAGCTAGAGGGTAAGAAATCTTGAAATGTGCCTTCATATATTTTTTTAAAACTGCCATAATTCCCAAACCCTACATTCTGGAGACATCATTTTTCATGACAAACGTAGGAAAAACATCTCGTAGCTTGAAAAATGACAAATGATTAAGAAAAATAATTAAACAAAATGCCTCTTGAGGGCATGAAGTGACAAAAACGTTCAACATGTCTCCATTAAAGCCCATTGTAATTTCAGGCAGATATTTCCTCACAGCAGCAGCCGCACACCTTTAGTTAAACTGCCAAAAAGGCCACATTATTAACCCGAAAGTACACAAATATTACACTTCAGATACTCAACTTCCTTGACATGCTTCACGTTTTGAAATTTCACAGATATCTGTTATCGTTCTTCCACAAAACGTTCACATGTAAGAGGTTTATCTGTCATTCAGAACAATGCAAACCTTTGATCTCTTCATAGCTCGTTAGCTCAACTATAAACACCTGTGTAATGGAACACGATGATGTCATCACTCCAACTGACAGCAGTCAGTTCTAACTGTTCATTTTCTCTCTCTCTCTCTCTCTCTCTCTCTCTCTCTTTCTCTCTTCTCTCTCTCTCTCTCTCTCTCTCTCTCTTCTCTCTCTCTCTCTCTCTCTCTGCCACACCGGTCCATGCCTCAACAGCTCTACGCCAAATCTGAACTCACCATATGCCGTTTCCATGGAAACGCATCCCTCGCCATAAAACACGATGTCCCTTTAAAGGTAGGGTAGGTAAGTTTGAGAAACCGGCTCGAGATCGCTAGAATTTGAAAATACACAACCGGAGAAAATCTGCCACTTCCTTACAGAGCCCTCCTCCAACACACACGTACGCGCACTGACCAATGAGGGCACGAGATAAGTTTGTGCACAGATGGAAGGCTGACAGGCAGGTAGGCCATCTAGTTATTTTAGCCGGGCCGGCTAAAATGATTGGTTGTGCTTTTTACAGTACTACGGCTTCCACAGATTAATTTTTTTATGGATTTTTTGTCAAAGCACTTAAGATATTCATTGCTATCGGGATGTTAAGAGCATTCCATGGAATATAACAAAAAGTGTATCTCGAGCCGGTTTCTCAAACTTACCTACCCCACCTTTAACTCCTATGAAAATGTTCAAAAAGTGCTCAAAATTCACATGTGTGCTAACAGTCCAGCCGTGAAGACATCTACGAGACAGTTTTGAGATTTCTTCAAATGCCGTTGCCATGGCAACACAATGCTCGCCATGAAACACGATGTCGCTGTAACTCCAATGGACACGGTCCGATCGCCCCCAAACTTCGCTTGTATATCACCGGTCCATGCCTCAACAACTCTACGCCAAATCTCAGATCTCACCATAGGCTGTTTCCATGGAAACGCATCCCTCGCCATAAAACACGATGTTGTCGTGATACCTATGCAAATGATCCAAACACCACCAGACTTCAGATGACAGTTAATGGTCCAGCCCTCAACATGTCTATATACCATTAGTGAGTTTTCCTCAAAAGCTGTTGCCATGGCAACGCATCCCTTGCAATAAAACACGATATTGCTATAACTCCTATGAAAATTGTCAAAAAGTGCTAAAACTTCACATGTGTGCTAACAGTCCAGCCGTGAAGACATCTACGGGACAGTTTTGAGATTTCTTCAAATGCCGTTGCCATGGCGACAGACCACTCGCCATGAAACACGATGTAAGTCCAATCGACACGGTCCAATCGTCCCCCAATCTTCACTTGTATATCACCGGTCCATGCCTCAACAGCTCTACGCCAAATCTGAGATCTCACCATATGCCGTTTCCATGGAAACGCATCCCTCGCCATAAAACATGATGTCGCTATAACTCCTATGAAAATGTTCAAAAAGTGCTCAAACTTCACATGTGTGCTAACAGTCCAGCCGTGAAGACATCTACGGGACATGCCGTTGCCATGGCAACACAATGCCTGCATGAAACACGGTTTTCTCATAACTTCAGTGAAAATGCTCCAAATGGCCCAAAACTTCACAGGTTTGGTAACACAGCCATCAACGCATCTAAGCGTATTATGGGATGTCATCAAATGCCGTTGGCATGGCGACAGATCATTCGCCATCAAGTTAGTTCAAAAGTTTGCATTTCAAAATTCTGCTGCTTTTCCAAGCCTTTTTACTTTTCTTCTTCTCATCACACATTCAAGCCCCCAGTGTTCATGTATCATTTCAATCTAAATTCTTCACTTTCTTCTTACACATTACATTTCAGCATAGCAGTTTAGCGTCAGCTTTTCAGCATAAAGCATTCCCACTAGCAATTTCTTCAGGAATTGCATTCTCTAGTTATAAATGCATGTCCTTCACTTTACTAACACATACAATCATAAGTTATGCATGATCTATTAAAGCTATTAGTGAGGTGTGGTTAGGTGATCACCAGATCCTTCCACTGTACAATAACTAAGAGCATCCATAAGATGCGTGTTCTTTATAAGCTCCTTTAATAGTTCATGCGTTATCATTGTATGTGTTAGTGAATTGATGCATCTATAATGCTTAACCCTCCTATTGTCTTCGTTTTCCCCCCCTTACTTTGGTGTTCGCGGTCAAATTTGACCGGTCCTGTTTTAACTGCTATTACATTAACACAAAAACCATTAATCATCACCACATTTCATTTAATACCTTTTCAAACTGTAAATATTGTATCAGACTACTGGTATACATGAAAAACTGCAGTAAATATACAAAGAATAGACACTGAACATGTATTGCGTGTGCCAGGTGTGATCCATGTGGGGGGATGGGCACATAAGAGCGGGAAATTGTTCTGTGTGTGTGTGTGTGTGTGTGTGTGTGTGTGTGTGTGTTTGATCTGATCCGGATGGTTACTAATTCCTTTTCTTTAAGGCGGTCATTTTTTACCAGGAACACCATGGGTGTTACAAAGTTGACTAAATCATCCAAAATTCAATGAAAGTGGTGATCAGCAATTTTATATGTTCAAATGTCTAAATAAAGCCTTAATGCAATCGAATGTAAAACAAAACAGTTATGATTGATGAAAGTAGTAAATCGGTCAGATTTGACCCGAAGACAACAGGAGGGTTAATAGTTAATGCGTTATCATTGTATGTATTAGTGAAGCGATGCATCTATAATGCTTAATTGTTGCATTGTATGCATTTTTATACATTAGAAATAATGTGCTTCAGATTACCATGCATGAAAAAGCAACTTAACATACACTTATTAATTATTATAAGTATATTTAATGTGTTATGATCGTTGATTAAGTGCATCAGAAATGATGTGTGTTTATAAAAGTATTCTAAAGAATGATGAATGCCTAATGACTCCACTATGAGTGCCCTCTTAATGCACTTGATGTGGTGTAGATGTGGTTTAGAAAGTATACATATAGTAAAGAGCTAAGTGAAGGTACATAAATAGATCAAATGTGAAGTTTGGTTTGGTTTGTCAGAAATCAAATGAATCACCATCTCACTGTCATCCTTTACTAAGGGTTTAGCTGTTACTGACAATGATTTGAGCATGACTTCCTTTAAGTTAATGAATCCTTGATCAAGATGTATTCATCGGTATTGATATGGTCAGTTATCCATCAAAAAGAACATCTTCTGGGTTTTCCTGTTTGTGAAAAATCATTTAGGTGGTGTTCATTCTTTATGCTTAATGCTGTTTTAAATTACCGACTTTTATAACTGCATTATAATTGTGGTTTTTCACTGTCTAAAAAGCTGTTAGTATGTTTTTAAGACAATGAATACCTTTCTAAGGGATTTTCCACAACCTTGCAACCTCAACGTTATTCTTATGAATGCCTTATAAAGGATCCATGAAGCATTAAATGATATATAACCCATTAAGAAGACAATTGTGAGTGAGAACCATTCCCACAATTACTCATTCTATAGGGTTCACTATGTTTTATTGGCTTATTTAAATAGTAAGCACTTAGTATAATTAGATTGTATTTACTTAATTGATCCCAGGGCATTGTTCATATCAAATATTATAATAATAATAATAAATACACACAGGTAATATATCAACAGATTAACCTTAAGTAAAATATAAACTAAGGATAATATTTACATTATACAAGTTGGCAAAGTAGTTGCAGTTTTTTTTTAATTTAAATTCATGAGGTAGTGTGAGCACACTATTGTTCACGATTATTGAAGTGTATGGTTAAAAAGAGAAATTAAAGAAACCATGAAGCTGTGAGTTCTATGCTAGCCAGAGGTGATGTGTTGTACAGTTTCTTTTTATCAGAAATGTTTTTTAGATATCGACAATAATTACTTCATTTAAACCAGAATACAGAGTTGCCCTGGCTGTGTATCCTTGTGTTTTTAAGGTCTAAAGTCAAAGATGAATCTTGATTGGGCCAAATTTGACCCCGAGCCACCCACAACAATGCTGCTGGGTCTTCCCAGACCCGAACACCAAATTATACATTTTTTTTAGAGACCTTCAGACTTGGCTAAAATGGTCAAAATCAGTTTTGTAGTGTTTTTAGCTGTTGTGGAGGATATCATGAAGACTTGTTCCGATAAAAAAAAAAACTAGTGCGTTATTATTATATAATTTTAACTTGAAACGGGTCACGGGAACCCGAACACAACATAAGGGTTAAGAAATAAACCCAGAGGGGATTTCCTTGCCCTTCAAATATTTCCAATTCCATAACGAATATTGTAAAATTGGATATGCACATGGACATCTGTTTTTAGAGCTATATATTGACAGTTTTGCTTATAGTCTTGCTCTTACTAACATAAATAAAGTCAAAACTACAACAACTATTTAGGATCTATAGGCTATTGCTGTAGAAGAGGTCTACCTGGTGTCCACTGCCTCACCTCGTCACCTCCTAAAATAAATGCCCCATGATTCAGAGGACTTTAAGGTCACACTGCAGACAACATCCCTATTGATTGTGAATTAAAGCAACGTGTATTTGCCTTCTCTCAGCAGCCTACTGTCTCCTATCCTGTCTCTAGGCTATTTATGATCCGGGCTTGCGCACTGAGCGCCTCCATTGTCTGGCGAGCAGCAGCAGCAGAAGCAGCGGCGGCTGAGCGGAGAGCAGCGGAGGGCCGATGTGGGCTTCACTGTGACCCGATCCCCGCGAAAAAGCGACAGCTGTTCGGACAACACGGGACAGACATCACGGACCAGACGTCATTGTTTTTTTTTCAAAGGCAGACTGTCGTCGGTCAGACAGGCAGCAACAGTTGTCACGATGTCTGAGATCAGATGAGGCGGGAGCAGGGGAGCGAACACTGCGGCGCTGCTGTGCTCCCGGCCGGGCGGGATAAACGCGTTGCTGTCGCGTCCCGCCTGCGATGATACCGCCGTGCTAACCACCTGGGACAGCGAGGGGAGTGAGCTGTAACATCTTTGTGTCATTCAGGACTATCGGCGTTACTCGGCTCCTCAAACATCCCCCGGTTGTGTCCCGGTTCTGTCTGCGGGTGAGCTGAATCCAGACTTCGGGGCGGGCTCATGTTCCGCTCGGCAGCGGAGCGGGCTGTTGCGTCTGCAGAGAGTCAGAGCTGACGAGCCTGCTGCCGAGACACAAGGACAGACAGACAGACAGAGAGAGATAGACAGGCAGCAGGCCGAGAGACAGACAGGAGCGAGGGGAGGGGGGCGACAGCCTGTTTCGGCTCTCTCGACCCTGTGCGGATCGAGCCGAGCCCCCTCCTGTTTCCGAACAGAACCCACCTATCTCCCGCTTTGGATGGGAGGAAAGCAGAGCACGGCGGGCCGGCCCCGGGGTGCTTTCCCCGGTGTCTCTACAGATGACAGCGCAGTGCCACCCTCGGCCCACTTCGGCCACTACCGGCCGAGCGGCACCATGGGCCTACGCAGTCGCTCGGTGAGCTCCGTGGCCGGGATGGGCATCGACCACAGCCCCGCCATGCCCTTCGGCTTCTACACCCCCAGAGGGACGGACTCGGACAGAGCCGGGGGGGGTCAAGGGGCACTACCGCCGCCCTCCACGGTACCGGCTACCAGGACACTGGGGGAGGGCACCACACGGAGGGGGTGCTCTATCTGGGTTCCCGGGGGTCGCTGGCTGACACCTTGCCCCTGCACATCGCGCCCCGCTGGTTCAGCGCGCACAGCGGTAAGCGTGAGCTCTGCACACACGCACGCGCACACACGCATCATTTTAGTGACGCTGGAGGATTAATCATCGCAGAAATCCTCACACAAATCACTCCGACACCTTGAGTCACGCACACCTTGTTTACCTGCGGGAGGAAGGACACCTTCGCAGTGTCATTACATTGCATGGCTGTGTAGGGAAGTTCAGACCAGTCTGAGGATGCTAAGAGAGAGAGAAACACAGCAGATTTACAATTTGTTTTAGCTTTAGGCCTAAATACAAGCAGACCCTTGTAACAACATATGTTTCCCTCAGGTTCCTACCCTGTGTTTGGAAATAATTCAGCTTCTTAACACTTTATATTTGACTTGCTCTGAATCTGAATTCTAAAAATTATTTAAAAAAAACACACACAATGTTGATCAATTCTGGTCCAACACTCAGAGAAAAGTTGTTATAGGTAATTAGATAATTTGAGGGAAACATATAGGCCTATGTCGTTTGCATGTATGGGAAATTGGATTTAGCGATCATTGCATTGCAGGTCTTGTCACGCTGCACTTTCTGCATAGGTCACTCCTTGTGTGAAATGACACTAATACGCCTGTTGCCAAATCTGGCTGAGTCAATTAGCCCGGCGATAAGAGAGGAGAACGGGAGGAGGAGAAACAGGAGAAGGAAAGATAAGGGATGGAGGAAGGTGAGGCAGGGAGGGAAGGAGGGAGAGAATGAAGGGTTTGGGGGGCGTTCATGCTGATCATCGGCTTAGCACTCACTTTACAACCTGTACACACACAAACTCATATAGACACATCGATAACAACATGGCAACAAACTGCTTTCCTTTCAGAAACATCAGCGATCACTTTTTTTAGGAGGATTATAACACACACACACACACCCACCCACACACACACACACACACACACACACACCCACACACACACACACCCACCAACACACACACCACACACACACACCCACACACCACATAGTATAGTATCCCCTCTCATACCAAAGCCCTGCCCGACTCACAGCAGGAGGAAAATAGAAAGTTGGACGTCAACATCTCAGCTGTTTTTCCCTGACTACATCATAGTCATAGCAGACCCTGAGGCTTCATATCAGTGGAGGAGAGCAGGAAAGGTGGTAGGGGTCAACTGAAGCTCGAAGAAATTGCGCAAGCTGACAACAGAGAGCCTGTATGAAATTGGTAATGTACAAATGCAGCAATAAATCAAATTGTGTGTGGTGGAATTGTGGAAAGTGGACCCTTTTCTTTTGTCCTAAGGGTGTGGTCAGCAGCTAGCTTGTTGGGGCTAAAGAGGTGAGGCTACTGGCCGCCACATTGCAGGAAGTCATCGCAATAATATTGTTTGCCAGCTCATAGAGTCTTATAGTGAAGGCAAACATGTTGAGTACACCAAAGTTTTAAGTTAGAAAAAGTATGGGTCCCAAGCACATAGAAACTGGAGGATGCTAACTTGCATTAAAAGTTGCATTACAGACCAAAGTTGCATGTGCAGAGCTCAAAATGACTTGGCCAATTTGGAACATTTTAGAGTGATTTTGGACGATATTGTGGATGTTGAGTCAATTTCGGACATTTTCAGGATCAAAAATGGCTGATTTTGACGTTTGAAAGACGTTTTAGGGGACTCAAAATGTGATTTTGTATTCCTAAAAATGTCAGAAATGGATTCAACATCCTCAATATACCTCAAATATCGGACCAAAACTGTCTATGCATTGTGTATCTATTGTCTGCATTGCTAATGAATGTTAATTAATGCAACTCGTGCTAATTGTGCAAATTGGATGCCAGTTAGCATCCTGTAGTTTCTATGTGCTGGGGACCCGTACTATACATTTCTAACATAAAACCTTGGGTCACTCAACATTTTTGTGTTCACTCGGCTGGCAACTCTATAACTATATGGAGGCATGCACGTTTATTTAAAAAACCGATGTGGATATTGGCGCTGGAGGCTTGTTGGTGATGGATGTCTCACACCTCAGCCAGGAAAGATCACATACAACCGATAGACAGCCCATCAGGATGAGTGACACGTGTTGGGTCGAGAACTGGACCATCTGAGATGTGACTGACAATACTCTTCCTGTGTCAGTCAACATCGGCGGGTTCAAACTGTTATTCTTTTTCTTAGTATTGGAATGTGTGTGCAGTCAAGGGTGGAGGCAAATAACCCTATAAAAGAAAGTATCAGACAGAGGCTGCTCAGACCAAAATGTCAAATATTTAATGCTCTAATAAAAAGACTGATGCTCTTATAAAGCAGTTCTGCCCCTTTTCATCCTCAGACCTCTGCTCCAACCAGGTTAACATGACCTTTCCTTCCAGCAGAAAGGTTACTCTCTCAGGGGTTTTCTGGAGGTGAATGAGATCTTTTCTGGAAACCTGCGATGTTTAAAAAAAATCAAGGATTAGTATTTATTTTAGAGAAACCACTGTGGCCAACGAAACTCATCCTAGTTCAATTTAGCTGTAGCTAGTGCCTTGAACCTGCATTATTTCAAAGGCCAGCAGGGGGCCACTAATTGCAAAAATAACTCAGGTTGTATAGAAGTCTATGTTGCGGCTTTCTCACCAGCGCTTTTCCCTTTCTAGCTCCGAGCTAGAGCTTTTCTGGTTCAGCTCCGGTTTCCCTTTTCTGCTCCCGCTCTGTTCACACCACTCAGAGCCGGGATGGTGCTGCCGCTGCTGCGTCATGACGTCACCGTTTACATCGCTGATTTGCTCCCCAACGGCGCTCACAACAACAACACGGGGGACTGCGTCGGGTCGATGATCGTGTTGCTTTAATCATACGAAGCCAGATTCAATTAAATAACGACTTCTCCAACTTATACTTTTCTCCAGAGTGCCGTGGTTCATTGTTTATTAATGTGTTTCAGCGGCATTTACCGACCGCTGCAGTGCTGGCTGCTCTTCCACGGGAGTTTATTCTCCCGTTAGCTCCGGGTTAGCTCACACGGCTCTAAAGTATTCACTGTCTGACTGTCACACAAGCAGCTGATACATATCCCCAGTTCCCCTTAAGTGAATGTGTGACAGTCTGAATTGACGCTGTTTGGCATCACAACGCTGTTATGAAAGTTTCTCTGGTATAACATGGGTGATGTTAGCATAGCAACCGAAGCTAAACTGACTACTTGCTAAGCAGTTTTCTACAGGCACATTTTACCGACGTATTTTTCATTATGATTCTACTTGTGATAGTCGGACATGACAACCTGTGCAGCCCATGTATTGATTCCATCCGAAGCTGCTATAATAACAAACAAAACGTCTGCCTGCTCTCCTCCCAATGATCAATAACAGCGAACGGATGGTCAAAGTAAGGTACAAATAAACAGAATCACACGAAGCCTGGTTAGTGTTGCCTGACTTTATAAAGTGTGTTTTTTTTATAAGTGTGTGCCTTCTAGTCACTTTGCTCAGCGCTACTGCTTGTAGGCAGGCATGACGAGACTCTTCAGTCGACCCATGTTCAGGGGAGGTCGGTTTAGTTTCCTGCACGCCTCGACATAAGAGAGACCTAAGCAACGCCCCTTTAGCTCCGAAGCTCTTGCTTCTAGACCGACAATTTTTTGGAGCTGGAAACGAACTGGATTCCGGAGCTAAGAGGCGGCACCGCTGCGGTGTGAACAGGAAAAACGGTACTTTTCAGGCTCTAGCTCCGAGCCGGCGCTGAAAACGCGTTGGTGTGAATGGGGCATGAGAGAGTTACCCTATACCTCCCACTTGACTTAAACATTGTGCACATCATCTGCTTTAATCGCTATATATTCCTGAATTCAGCATGATGTTCATTTTGTAAATGATGTTCCATTTAGTAGCCCTGCTTTAAAGACGATAAAGCTTTTAAGCGAGGCTTCTATGTGATTGACAGATCGGTACCGCAGGCCAGGGTTGTCCAGTTTAGGTGTTGTTCTTGTTTTTGTATAAGAACATATTGCCCTTTTTTTAAAAGTGTGTCTATACGCTGTAAAAGTTAAGATTTTGGTTGAGAAGAAATATCTTGTTTAGCTCTCGGTTGTACTTAACTCTTGTTGTTTAAAAAACAAATAAGATGGAGACTGCCAAAAACCACGACAGCTGTTCATATGTGAGGTGTTTTCTTGCCTTTGCATTAGATTGGGTCATAGAATGTTCGGATGTTGCAGAAGACAAGGAAGATTCAGGAAAGATTCATTTATTGACCTATTACCAAAATGATGCGAGGCTGCAGGTGAATGATGGTATGATAGTTTACTTAAGTCATACAGCAGTTTCCACTCAAATGAAAACCAGAATGTATTGTTGATTATTGTTAACTACATTATTTAGTTCAAACCTGGTAAAAGATATCTGATTGATAAACTATTTTTTCCAAAGACTGTCTTACTTTAAAGTGGACCTATCATGCTATATTATAATAATATAGTGTAGGACCATACCTATATAAGGCATATTTATACTTTTTTTTTTTCAAAATACCAAACAGATCATGCATTTTAGCCATGCCTCATTTTGCTCAATTTGACATTTTTTAGATCTGTTTTTAGCAAGGGCTGATTCAGTGAGAACAGCACCATCTACAGGCCTGGCATATGTACTACAGCATCTCCAGCGCTTTCGAACGGCAATGGCCGTGGCTGTCTCCTCCTGATTGGTGGAGTTGGCCCAATAGCCGTAGCGCCACCGTCCTGACGTCAGGACAGTGTTCAAATCTGGATCAGTTTTTTCAGATCCGTTGCAGCCCCTTTTTTAGAGATTTGGGTATGGGAAGGAAAATAGAGGGTTGTGTTTTCTGACACTTGGTGAGTTCCCTGGAACACCGGGGACACATATTCATGTATAAAAGACGTACAAAAGTGCATTTTGCATGATAGGTCCTAGGGCTATGCGATTATGGCAAAAATCATAATCACGATTATTTGGGTCATAATTGATATCACGATTATTAAATACGATTATTCATTGACTTTGAAAACATCCATTTATTGAACTTTTA